TTTTTTAAGTAAATAAGAGAGTAAAGATAAAGATTTAGCTTTAAGAATAGGAGGAAGGAAAGAAATTAGTAACTTTAGACTTGTTCTCAACAAGTCAAACCAGACCAGCACATCAGCGTCAGGACAGACATCTCCGAGGGCTAGACTTCAGCTTTTATCTCAGCAAGCATCTCCTTTTACCTTTTGATGTCTTCACAAAGACAGGCAGGTGGACGGTTTTGAGATTGTCAGGACTGAAGTCCGCCAAGTGGATAACGTTGCCTCGTGACACCCGGGGTTGAGTTGGGAGACACTCCTGTCTCATCCCAGCGAGCCTCCAGGCTTCTCTCACCCCTAGCGAGCCCTCAGGCTCCGTGCGGTCGGCTCAGAACACTCGCTTCGGACAGTTAGTGACTTTCATCCAGGCTTACATCCATGCAGGTGTCGAGAGATGGACACCACACCTCAGAGAAAACCCAGTCAAAACCATCCGCTCCAACAGACGAAGAACAACTGTTAACTGTGCTGAACAGAAAAAAATTAGTTTCTTGAGAGGGAAAGTGAGATGTGAGAAAATAAACAAGGCGTCTTTCTCAGACTTGCTTCGGCCATCTGTGTTCTTATCAGCAAAGAGAGACCTTGAAGCTGCAAAAGGCAGACAGCCACGCTGTCTTAAAAATCACTTCTCCTAAGCTTAGAAATCACACCACACTTTGCACAAATGGATTAATAATGAAATTAATAGTACACAATTATTAATCTTTAAACCAACTAAGAAAAATGATTAAACCATGATTAATAAGGCATTACTAAGAAAAAACATTAAAGCACATTTCAACTCTTTTTTTTCTTCACAGTGTTATACTTCTGGAATAAAGAGATGCAAAGATTAATTCAATAACTTTGAGTATATTGATTATAACCTCAAATAGAAGACTAAATGAGATAACATATATATAGGACTTATTGTCACTTAAAGAAAATAAAAACACTTTAAAATGATTTTCTTTTTATAAGTGTAAAAAATAAAATCAAAGACAAAAAAAACAATAGAAAAGTTTTTTTTTTCCACCAGGGTTACCCCTACACATCYGTATATAGACTAAATGATGACTTTTACTCTTTTCTGCATACTGTGTTTTGTATGACTGATCTAAAATGACTGTATAGAGGTCATTATCATAAAATCAAATGTTCTTTGTTATGGTAATATCCTGCCGACAATGCCAAACTGTTATGGCAATATTTATTTAACAAAGACAGAAATACGTGGTCCAAGAATGAAGGTACTCCGTGAGATGATCAGCTGAGTTTTATTGCAACAACAGGAAACACAGAGAACGTGGCCTGTCTCTGTGCCTCTGTCACTGTCTCTCCACACTAATGTTGAACTGTTGAGAGGCCTCATATATGTATTAACAAACACCATTCTGTCATCTTAGCAAGATTTGATACAAGGTCAATGGAAAATACAAAGATAAACACAAGTGATATCTAAGAATGATTATTGTTGTTAGCAGGTCTTGTTATGACTTTAATCATTCTATCTGCAGATGAACAGCATGTCATGAAAACCTAAGTCATTAAATGATGTCATGAATAACTAGCTTAAACATAAAAGTATTAGTTCCACCACACTCTTCAATCATTATTTTAAAATATAATTCATAATAATACATTGAAGTGTTATTTAAGAGAGCTTAAGGACAATTTCATTTCTTATATTTGTTCTTATTTTCAACAGTTTGTTGAAAAGTTGTTTAGCAAGTTTAAAATAAATAGTGGGAATCAACTTATTGTTTTTGTGGTRGTGGTGGGTTGTTAGATTCATTGCATCTTTTTAAAGTCCTGCCATGTATCAACACAAATATGTACAATTTGAAGTTTTAAATTCAAAGCTTTGCTCCCATACAACAAGGTTTCTCCATCCAGTAAGTAACTGTTTAGCACATAAAACAACGGCCACCTCAGACAAAGTTGCAAAGTGAACAGAAATCCATTTTACAGGTAAAAGCTTTTTTTTATTTTCAAGGATGAAAAATTGGAATGATTGGATTTTGTTTTTTGGTCTGTGACTTGTGTGTCTGAGCTCGCCAAAGCAGCGTTCACAGTAATACGATGACAGAAGGAAAAAGAACTACAGTAAATATTTTGATGGAACAGGAACAGCTTCAGTAGGACCTCACACATGGGTAATGTCAGTCATGTAATCACTGTTCATTGTTGTGCTTCAGATGCAGAGATCTGCAGTCTTTGCTCTAAGCACGCAGTTTTCTGTTGAGGACTTGTCGCTCAAAATGCAGTTTACACCTGCTGCAGCTACTCTAAAACATGCATTTGTCAGCGTTGACATACATTCTCTCACACTTTGTAAGAATCTAGATTTCTTTATTAATTCCTCCAGTTTTTTATTGAAGACTTTTCACCCCTTTCATGTCTGTCTATGGGGGCATTTCCTGTAGTGTCAGTGGGTTGTATTATGTGATTGGTGGAAACCATAAACTAAGGCTACTACATACTTCAAGACATCAGATCTCACTGACGTAGTTGCGAGACATTCTTATCGACATTTTAGAGTCACAGAATATTAAGCAAAGCGGATGTTTCTTTTCAGTTGGCCGAGGAAGATCCAGTATTTTTGTTGTTAATTGAGAAGCACTATTTAGCAAATTTGTCACAGAGGGACCACCATCAGATGGTGGGGGAACTTTTCCCTATATTTTCCAGCTGAGGTGCACTCCCTCCCAGTCTTGATGAGGCTCACTAATGTGGCAAGAAAGATAACTGTAGTGAAGCGAGCCCAGGTATACTCATAGCATGTGAGAACCAAGGCTAAACTGATTCTGTCCTGAACATCCACTCTACAGCCAGTTTGATCTTCTTTCATCTGGCCACCCGTTTCAGGTTGCCTACGATCAGAACCCAGCATGGTTGGGTTTCTTTCATTCCTGCAGCCATTGTACCTTTATTGTTTAGCTTATTAAAGCCTTGTTAAGGCCTATTTGTTCGAGTTTCTGAGGTCTTTTGACCACTGCTGCTCCCTGCTCTGGTAACAGCATGCAGAGTGAGTGCAGAGTTCTGACACAGGAGGAGGGAGAAAATAAAAGAAAGAACCTGGGACCATGACTCTGCCTCTGGG